TGGCACTCAGCAACAGCCCTGCCTCTGCACCGTCACCTTTTTCGCTCCAGACCTGGCTCTGTTTGCCTGTTTCTTCCCAGAGTGTCCTCTTCTCTTCCCCTGATGCTGCATCCCTGTGCTGAGAACTCCAGGGTTAACTACCTTGTGCCCTGCTGCTGGTGTTGGGATGCCTTTGATAAGGCTCTGCTGCTTTTCCAAAGAGCACTTTTTATTTCTAATAAATGTAATAATATCTCAAAGCTGCATTTTTGGGGAGTTTTTTTTTTCTTGTATTCTCAATGAGCATCTTATGGTCTTGGAAGCTAGAAGTTTATTTGATGAGACATTTCACTCCTCTCTGTAAAGATGATGGGTTCAATAATGCATCGCTGTAGATGCAGCTCTAAAGCCACGCAGTTTATAGCCCAGGAGAGTATACACCTCCATTTTTCCCCTGGGCACCATGCTAGAGTGACAGCCCAATGCAAAACATCAAGCACCCACAGCACCCAACATCCCTTTGGCACTTGTGCATGGTGCAGCCACCCCAGTTCATGGTTCTAAGTCCTCTGGGGCACCAGCACCCAGTGACCATGTCTGTGGAACAATGAAGCACTGCTGGCAGACATGACCAAGCCCAGCAGGCTCAGTGCTGAAGAGCCGGGATTGGGGCTGACCCTCAAATAGCCTGGGGTGGCCAATAACACCATGCCAACATCCACATCCCTGCCATCCTTCCACTTCTCTCCCAGCTTTGCAAGCCTCACAGCAGCTCTACCCAGAACGTAAATCTCACACACTGGGTCAGCCAAATCAGCCCTGGGCCAGGCAGAAGGAAATAAAACTATCAGCAAGTCCCTCAGGCAGCTCAACGCACTCCAAGTCATGCCTCCAGGCCTTAATGACTTCTTGCCCAGCCTTTTGAAATCTGCTTTGAAATGCCGAGGGCAGCACCACCACCCCTGTGCACTGCTTTCTTCCCAGCAGACGTGGCCTTTTGCCAAAGCTGGGACTCATTGTCCCCACGGCAAAATTGCTCAGAGCTGAACAGACCTAGTCCAGCCTGCAAGAGCCGTGCTGTGGGGCTGAGCTGGAGCACCACAGGCTGCAGCACGGACATCATGATGGGCAGCACTACCAGCACAGCCACAGCACATATCCCCTGCAGGCCTCCGGATCAGTCTCCCTGGAGTCCCTGGTGCCTGGTGCTCTTTCCAAGCCAGAGGAAGGACACAGCACATGAAAATGCAGAAGGAGGCATAATCCTTCATTAGAGGAATAATCCAGGCACAGTGGGTTTAAGTCTTAGGACATTCACACCTCTGCAATTCTTTGCAGGACCCTTAAACTTTCTCAGAGCATCTCTAGGACCCTTGCAAAATACCCAATCCAGGTGCTTCACTTTTGATGAGCTTTTGTTTCAGATGCAAATGTCTTCCTCAGCCACTGGAGCCACCAGCAAGATGCTGGAGGGATCAATGTGCTGTGTGCTCACCAGATGCTTTCTGAGTGTTTGCCTTCCCCTCTCCTGGGTACCCACTGATCTTACCAACCCTTCCAGTGATGTCCCAAGCCACGAGTGCTGCCACACCGCTGAACC